TCCCTTCCCTTTCCCTTCCCTTTCCCTTCCCTTTCCCTTTCCCTTCCTTCCTTCCTTCCTTCCCTCCCTCCCTCCGCAATGTTGTTTTGTAAACTTCCTCACTTGTGACACTTTCACACCAACTCACAGAGGAATGCACACTATGTCACTCAAGGGTTATGTAATTCTTCCAAAACTTCACACTCATAAGTTAGCTGAATTTAGCCATAGGTTTTATGTTGATTCCTGCAAAAGGTTTTGATAGTACGCAGGGCTCCTCCAAATGTTGTTACTAAATCAGACTGATAAACATAAAATATAAAGGAATAGGTGGCAATTAATCCCACTAACTATTCTTAAGTGTTTTACAACATAGTCCCAATATTCCTATGGATAATACTGATCAACACATTATTATTATGTATTGCATAGTGGTAAGCAATTGCTGTCCTACATCTCAAGTAATTTATGAAATAAATGCTGAAAAAAAGCAATATTATGAGAGTGGAAATGTTGATATTCAACTGTTCAGTTGAATAATTGATTTCAAAATCCAATTTTACATTTGAGGAACAGTATGTAACCTTTAACAAACAAACAAACAAACAAACAAAAGAACTTGTTGACTTACTAGTAAATGGTCAAAGTTTAATACATTTGCCTATTATATTCTATGAAATAAAGATGGCTGTTATCTCAGATACCATTGAATATTAACTGGTAAATGTTAAACACAGTCTAGAAACTTTCAGATGTTGGCTGCTTTTGCATTCAAGTTATCATATCAGAGATTACCATTTGTAGCAATTTCTACATACAAACTGCATATACAGTAATGAATATAGATATCCATTACATTTCATTCCATTCTTATTTTGCAAATGTTGTTTCAGTTAGTTTCTATATCACTTTTTTTTTAAAGCTTGTATAAAAAATTTATACATTTCAGTGAACTTGTTTCCTATGTAAGCATTTCTGTGTGCCATTTTCCCTGATACATTTATACTTTCATTAAGATATATGCACATAGTCCTCATTTAATGACCATTCATTTGATGACGGTTCGAATTTATGATAGCCTCAGAAAAAGTGTTTTATCACCTGTACTTGCACTTATGACTGCCGCAAACTGTTGCATCACCCCCTGCAGTCCCATGATCATAATTTGTGACCATTTTTATGAAGGTTGTTAAGTGAATCAAGTGGTTGTTAAGCAAATCAAGTGGTCATTAAGAAATTCTGGCAAAAAACATCGTTTGGAGAAGTTGGGTTCACTTAATCACCATGTTATTCACTTAACGACCACTTGATTTTCTTAGCAATCCCAGTGATTCACTTTATGACCATCATAAAAATGGTCATAAAATTGGGTCTGGTCATGTGGTGACTCACTTAAAGGCTGCCCTGCTTAATGACCAATTTTCCAGTCCCTATTATGGTCATTAAGCGAGGACTACCTGTATTTTTCTGCAAGTTAACTTAAAATTTGGTTGTAGGATTCAACAGCTAGGCAAAAATATGAAGTGCCTAAGATGATAACACAAAGTATCCATGGCCATAACACACACATAGGCAGGACTACAATTTCTATATGTTGTTACTTGATTCCTTTTTTTTTTTCCAGTGTGCATTCTGTTTTCCATCTCAAAATACTGTAAAACACAGTAGTGTTTTCAGCAACCATATTCACAAGTTTGCTGATGGTTTCAGAGGCAGCCCTGGGCCCCCAAAAAAGTTTAGGGGCCTCAGAATTCTTTTTGGTCATGTGTTTCTCAACCCTGGTTACATGGCCAATTTCTGAGTATATGTTCAAAAGATTATTTTTCTTTATTCCATAAGATCCAGACTTGAAGTTGAGTAGTTGAAATGGCATTGCAGAAGTGAACCTTTTGATATGGGTCTAGATCTTACTTCAAATTCATAGTTCCACATATTCTTGGAATGTGAAGCTACTTGCCAATTTAACATCTATTCTTGGATTATATTTATTTTCTATTTATACAGGACCATTTTATATTGTATTTTAATCGATTCTAATTTCTTTGTAAACTGCCCAGACTCATTTTTTTTTAATGAGATGGGTGGTGACAAATTTGACAGATAGATAGATAGATAGATAGATAGATAGATAGATAGATAGATAGATAGATAGATAGATAAATACTGAATAAACTGAGATAAGCACACTTTGAATGTCAAAACATGATCTAAATCCTCCTTAGACTTATTTTTTCTGCTAAGGTTCCTTACACAGTGTGCTTTGGAGGAGGATCTGAGAAGGGGGAGGAAACTTTCTGTGAGCTCTTTGAAGGAACAGTAAGACAATTGCCCTTATTACATGAAATTCCTATAGGAGAGAGAAGAGGAGGAGGAGGAGTATTAAGTATGTTTGCCGCCTTGAGTTGTGTATGAAAAAAAAGTGGGATAAAAATC